GCTCGGCTGCTGAAAGCAGGTTTCTGGCCTTGTTAACTTCTGTATTGATACAATGTTGCAGTCGGCTGGCTGAAGCCCAGCTGACTAAAGCAGGTTTCTGGGGTTTGTTTAGCTTCTATATTTGCAACATAGTTTCTTAGAGTTGCAGCTGAGAGGCTGGCAAGTCAGGCGGGGAACATTGGAGTCCGCCATCACTGGAGCAAGCAAGCCTCCCTGTTCACTTCAGTGCATGGCTGCCGGCCGCCATCTTGGCTGGCAGTTAATTTGCATATCGCCCTGATTAGCCAATGGGAAGGGTAGCAGATGTACGGCTAATTACCATGTTTCTCTTTTATTAGATAGGATGCTTTTATTTTGACTATACTCTATTAATTTTGTATTTGAAAAATATTTTTAAGCCCACAAACTGAACACTTCTAGAGAGACTACATAAAAAAACAAGTGCTTTGCAACCACTCACTCTCCGATGTTCTATGCCAGTGCACCTGCATTGATTGGTCCCACAGTGAAGCCTGGAGAGAATTAGGATCGCTTCTGATAGCCAGCCAAAGAGGCACAACGACTTCCCAACTCACAAACGTCTAATTTATGAACACCTGTCACATAAAGAGAACGGCTGCTGGCCCCCGCTAACTTGCCAGGGGACAGCACAGCAGTGTGGGACACGCTTGAGCTTTGCAGTCAGACGGCTAAATTTTGAGTTTTGCCCCTCTGCTTACTAGCTGTGGAGTACCCGGTGAGTTACGTAGCCTTCCTGCACCTCAGGTCCTCATCCAGAAAATGTTCTGACAGCGGTTCTTCACTCAGAAGATTGCTATAGAATGTAGTACAAACCATGCAGCACCAAGTCTGGCACACACTCTGCTATACCAGTGTTGCCATTAGTGTTGTTAGAGGCAGCTTGCCCTCTGGGTGCTCACGATGGCACTGCCTCACTCTGCTCTGTCCCTAATGGCAAGCCTGGTGTTTGTTACCAGGTACAGACAGCAGATCCCTTAGAATAATGATTGTCTTGTCACGGTGACAAATTTCAACTTGTTAGAATCAATTTCCTTAGAATTAATTATTGTCCCACAAATCTGCACACCATTTGATTGAAGTAGAGCTACCCTTAAGTCTATTAAATTCATCACAATAAAGGAGAGAGCATGTTCCATTTAAAAATTTGTAATGTGTATTTTTTCACATAGAGAAAATTCCAGAAATCTGATATCCCTCAGAGGCCATGAGGGTTTCAGTGTGTATCAGCCATGCAGCAGGCCAGGAGGGACCTGTGTTGTAGGTGCTATTGCTTGATATGGACCAAGCTTTGCTGTAGCTGTCTGTTAAATATGGCTTTGACTGTGTATTATTTGCATTGCTGCTACGAGGTATGTTCAGTTTATTTGCCATTTAAAATGTCCTAAAAATAATACATTATAACCAACAGTGAAACAGAATATATTGTGTATTCAGAAAGTTATAGAATAGACCAGCATGATATACATTAAAACACTATATCTAAAATAAAATTTTCGTAAGAAAGCATTGTGTTGAAAGCTAATTATACTTCTTCCTTTGGACTCCATAAAATAATGGCACTGTACTAGATAGTAACTTAAATTCAAATAAATGTAGTTATTGACATCAAGAAATATGTGGTCCTCTTCATCCCTGGGGTTTCCCACTTCACCTTGGCTCGCGGTCGGCAAATGTATTATCTACTGACCACAACCCAGGTGCCAGGACTACTGGTGGGTGCTGATCACTTTCTACCAGAGGTCAGTCTGTCCTACTGCACTTTATCCAAAACAAAGACCTTTCTCTCACCAATATTTGCAGTGGCTGTAATTTTGCTTGTAATTCCTAGACTTTTACTGTCCTTATGAGTGAAAACATTTAGTGATCAAGCTGAAGTCTGACTTTGATACAATGGCCTTTACAAGTGGATCCTGCCACTGAGGTAGAGGAGTTGATTCCTGAGAAACAATATATTTATTATTTCTTATGCTACTTATTATGCATTAAAAATGTGCTACTTGCTATGAGTTAGATATAAGCGTAATCTGGTCCTCAGACATCTATTAAACTCACAATGTAGATGCAGGGCTAATATCAAGTCTCTAGAATGGAGGTGAGTACAGTCTGGGTATATAGGGTCAAGGAAAGCACAGAGAGAACTGGCCAGTGCTGCCCCGGCTGCTGACCCCGAGAGCGGGGAACACGGCAGGGCCACTCAGAGAGCTGCCATAGAATCCTGGTTGTAATAAAAATCCAGACATGGAAATTAGGAAATGTTCCTCAAAGAAGGAAGTGGGAGTTTTAGGGGGAAGCAGAGAGATGTTCTCACTGGAAAATCCATTGTGATTAGAGAAAAAGCCAACAGTTCCCAAGAGATAAATCCTAAGGGAAAGCAGCTCCGAGAGATGGAACAGAGGCTCTGGCTTCCATCTATAGAAGGACTGTCCCACATCCTAAGTCAACACCTCCTGAGCATCTGTCACTCAGGAATCACCGTCAGCAGTAGAGACTCAGGTAATGAAGGGTCAGTGCATGGAGACCAAACCCACTGAAGGCACTGGTCTCAGGCCACCATCTCACTGAGTTCTCTCCTGGACATAATCTCTTTGAATTAATAATCAGATGCGACTAGAAAAGAGCAGAATATGAGACCCCAAAAGATGCCACTTCAGCATGTAGCTTGTTTCGAACTGAAGACCATTGAGACTCCGTGGGCTCAGAGAAACTTCCGTCCCTGCCTTAACTACCTAGAAGACCCTGACCCTAACTCAGGGTCTTTTCCAGAACGGGAATTATTACCAGAGATACATTTCAGCTGAGTAACCCATCTGTTTGACTGGACAAACATCTAATTACCCAACATCTGCTCTTCTTCTGATGAATTACCCTCCTCTGCTTAAAACCCCAGGCCTTTATCCTATCCCTTAGCTCAGGATGTCATGTATACCTTATTTTACCTTTTTATCTCTGAATCTTTCATTTATGCGGGGTTTCTGACTTTCTCATGTATGTGGGTTTGATTTTCTCCTGTTAATCTGTCTCATGTTGATTTTATTATCAAACCAGCCTTTGTAGGATAGAGTAAAATTCTTCATCCCCTGCAGGACCAATGGTTGCTATTAAATGTTTCTCTTTATTTCTGCCCCCTTCTAACTTTTTCCCTAGTGTTGTTTAGTTGAATTTCCAAAGTAAAGTGAAACTTCACTATAACCCAATTAATGCTGAATTTCTAAACCAGAGCCCTCTGGACATCATGGGAAGATTCACTGCATATTTGTAGTACCACTGACAGTTTCATTCCCTGCCCCATCGGGGATTAATGAGGTATTTATGGAGAAAACACTGAAACTTTTGACCATGCAGGGCATTATGTGTTTTAGGAAATACGATTTGTTTTAAAGAATTTATAACCAAGCTTTATAATTTCCCTTATATTAAAGTGAGTTCTACCTGTGTGATGTTACGCTTGCAGAAGCTAATGTGAGCCTAAGGATTTCAAATTCAGGTAAGTGGAAAAAAGGTTTCAAATTCTTAAATTTCTTGCATTCCTGACCTTCCCGCCAGGAGTTTTCTTTCACACAAAAAATTTGTCTTTCTTCCTTTATATTTTTCCTTTTTCCCAACACTTAACAAAAAAAAAGAGTATCTTTGACCTTGCATGTAATAAGTTTTCAAATGTTCAAATGTTATTGTTGATTAAACAAATAAATTCATACATGAATGAATGAATGAATGAATGAATGAAAATTCTTTAAAAACTTGATTCTCTGGCTTAATTAGAACTTACTCTTTTATTTGAAGCATCAAGGAACATAGTTACAGTGACACTGCTGTAGTCCATAGTTGGCATTTCTTTCCTTCATTTATTTAAGACATGTAGTCACACTCCACCCCAAGCTTCCAGGACCCCCTCCTTCTGAAAAGCTTTGCTTCCAGAAAATTGAAGAGTCAGGCTACCCTCCTGAGTAGACAGTCCTTCCCCGTTGTTTTACTGCCTTTTGGATATACATGACTTTGCAGCTTTCCCTAGAAAAAGAAGACTAAATCAATATCTCGTGCATGACTAAATCAATATCTCCCCTCTCCTTCCCCGACTCCCTTTTCCTGCCTCCCACACCCCCTTTCATCTTTCTCCTAATTCCTCAGTGTAGTACCTAATCCTGATTCTGACTTTTCAAGCATAGCCTCATTATTTCTTACTGATTCAATCACACACTTCTTCACAACTTGTTTCTGAATTCTACGAATGCCCTGTCAGCCTCCTAAATCTCTCTGTTACATTAAAAAATGTATTGGCACAATATTCTGTGTTACAAGTGAACTTGCTTTTATGCCACTAAAGCATAGTGAATATTTGCCATTCACTTAGCTGCCTATTGTCATTCAGTGTATTAACTTTACTGGTGAGATGCCCAATGCCAAGGGAAGGTCAATGCCAGGGGAGAGCTGCTGGAGAGTTAATGTCCAACACACGCCGACTCCACTTTAGGTTTCAGCCACAGAGACCAGCAGTTGGGATAAACTGACATGTACTAAATGTCCATCTTGTGATGTTAGACACACACAGTAAGATTTTTTATCACAACAACTCTATACTTTTGACACAATTATGCCATTGATATTAGGCCATGAAAGACGTCTTCCACAGATCTTACTCTTGGAAGCACAGGATGAGATCTAAAGCCCCCCCACTTACACTTTGTTTTGTTTTTGTTCAAGACAACTTTTTCCAAGCCCTGGACAGTGTGGCTCAGCTGGTTGGAGCATTGTCCTATGTACAGAAGGGTCAAGGTTCAAGTCCTAGTCAAGCCTCATACCCAGGTTATGAGTACGATCCCCAAATTGGGGCATAAGGAAGGCAACCCAAAGATGTTTCTCTCACATAGATGTTTTCCTCTCCCTCCTTTCTCTTTTCTCTCTCTTTGAAATCAATGATAATCATATTCTTGGGTGAGGATGAACAAAAATGCCAAATATACATACACCATTATCTAGTTCTAGAATTTTGTTTCATGTCAAATGGAAACCCTGTACTCACTTAGCAGTGACTTCCCATAGTGGGGTCCCTGTGAATATAATTAATGCCACTTTGAAATGATTAAAATGGAAAATTTTATGATTTTTTATCCTATCTAATAAAATAGTAATATGCAAATTGACCATCACTCCAACACAAGATGGTCGCCCCCATGTGGACACAAGATGGCCACACAAAATGGCCAGCAGGGGAGGGCAGTTGGGGGCGACTGGGCTGGCAAGGAAGGGCAGTTGGGGTGATCGGGCTGGCAGGGGAGGGCATTTGGGGGCGACCGGGGCGGCAGGGGAGCAGTTAGGCATCGATCAGGCTGGCAGGAGAGTGGTTAGGGGGTGATCAGGCTGGCAGGTGAGCAGTTGGGAGCCAGCAGTCCTGGATTGTGAGAGGGATGTCCGACTGCCCATTTAGGCTCGATCCCAGTGGGCAGTTGGATATTCCTAAACGAGCAGTCGGACATCCCTCGAGGGGTCCCAGATTGGAGAGGGTGCAGGCTGAGCTGAGAGACACATACCCCTCCATGCACGAATTTCGTGCACCGGGCCTCTAGTTTTACTATAAAAATCATACACACACACATTTAAACAGTCTTCCACTTCCCACTTTTTCTTACAACTCCCCTTCCTTAAAAGTTATGTTAATAATTACAGAGTCCAGGATGAAATACCCACGCTGGTTTCATTAAGTTAAAAGATTGCACACTATTTTCCTTTTATTTTCTCCATTATGACTTTACCTGGTTAAATATAGATTTTATGGCACAGGGAGAGATAGTATTGTCACTAATCAAAAGCTGCACTTCACAGGGGGATTGCAATGAGTTTTAAAATACTAAAGTTTTCTAATATAGGAATGCCATTCCTCAAAGAGGAATGTACCATTTTCACACAAAAAAATTCCTGGTATGTATTTGGCCGGTTGGATGTAAAATGAATCTTGGAGCTTTCACCTGAATTTCCACTTGACAAGCCTTTGACAAGATGTTGATGACTTCCCAATCTCTTTTTCCAGTCCACACCTCCATCCAGAGCACTAGCCCATATATCTAACTGCCTGATAGACAGCACCTTGATAGCCACCAGACACCTGAAACTTAACTTGTCCAAAGCTGTACTCATTATTTTGCACTCTCAGACCTGCTGTTGTTTCTGTACATTTGATTTTGCTGAAGATATAACTATCTCCTCAGATGCCCAAACAAGACATCTAGGCATCATTCGCAAATTGTCCTTCCCCACCCACATCTTATTAATCATCACGTTCTTTAGAGTCTATCACACTGTGTCTCGGGGCCTATTTAAAAGGATCAGCCGACACACACCTACACATGCATGCACAAGCAAAGCCTCCCATTTTGATTGCTTCCTATGACAGATTCAGCTATCCATTTGCTCCAGTAAATTGATCTCGGTAGCAACAGAATCAGTCTTGGATCTCAGTCAAAAGAAAACCTGGAAAGTTAAATCACTGAAAGATAAAGAAAACGGCGCTACATCCCTGAAGCCTTTAGTACACATTTTAACTCTCTGATGTTTTCTGTTCTTGTTATGTCAATGAATATTTAAATGGCAGCAGCCAGTCCCAGGCTCTTTCTGCCTTATATCAGGCCTAGATAGATACCTTCCCCTCAACCCTCTTACTCATGACCTCTTGGAAAAGCAATTGTAGACCATACAGAGAAATTATTGTGAAGTAAAGATGTGTTTATCTGATATCTCATTAGCTTTTACCCACAGGCTAAAGAGCCATTTCCCTCCTTCTCATAGCTAAGCAGGATTCTCAGAAAATCCAGAATATTACACTATCAAAATCTTGCCTCTTACATTGCAAAGCCTGTGGTCTAGGTGTATTTGTAAGAATACACAATAATTTTTCCCAGACTTGTAAATCATTTTTGAGAACTTCTAATTTAAAGTTGAGCATGTAAAAAATAGCCTTTACTTCATTGTCTAATGGAAAAACATGAAACAAGATTAATGAGAAATAGCATCTCAACATTATCATCCAAAAATTTTGACATTTTTGAAAGGCTTTCAATAGCAATGGATAAATGAAAAAGAGTCCATAATCAATCCTTCAACTTCCTGCCTATCTCCATTTACTAGTGAAATACAAACCCAGATGTAATATCTTTATTCTTTTTTATAATTTTTAATATGTTTTTATTGTTTTGGGTTTTTTGCTTTTTTGTTTTGTTTTTTAGAGAAGAAGGGAAAGGGAGAGATAGAAAACATTGTTGAGAGAGAAACATGGATCAGCTGCCTCCCGCATGCCCCCTACTGGGGATTGAGCCCAAAACTCAGGCATGTGCCCTGATCAGGAATCAAACCGGTGACCTCTTGGTGCTTGGGATGACTCTCATCCACTAAGCCACACTGGCTCAGCTAATATGTTTATTCTTAAAGAACACTCCTTTTACCATGACGCAGAGGCTTGACCTCTCCTTCAATGAAACTTCTGAAAATAATGGTTTCAGAAAATAAATTACTTACTTCAAAAATATTTAATCAAAAAAGAAGAGCCACAGAATCAAAGATGGCACAAGAAATAAATAATAAATAAATCAAAGGACATGAAAAGAATACTTACCATAATAACAATAATAAAACAGAAAATTTTAAAGTATTCCACCATGAGTTTTAAAAGTATCATAAAGCAATGAATACAAACAAGATAATATCAGCAAAGATCCATGAATTTAGGACAAGGTGATAAATTAGAATATAATGAAATATGTATATAAGAACTAGGAAAAGAAATGAGAGAACAATAAAAAACCCCACAGAAATAAAGGCAAATTGTCACTGATAGCAGGAGAATACATATTTCTAAGTAAGGTCGTAAAAGACAGGATTTAAAAGTGCAAGTAAAATAAAATGGATATAAATATGTGTTCCTAAAAGAATTTTGAGAAAAGAAAAGGTAAGGGAGAATAGAATTATGCAAATTGTGTAACTAAGGAAAATATTTAGAATAAAATCTATCTTTAAAGATACTATTCAAGAAAACTTTCCAGAAACAAAGTCATAAAATAGAGACTAAACTTTATTCTGTGTGCCAGAAAAACTTGACATGATGGTCACCACAAATAAGTGCCCTCCAAAACTGAGGTCTGGGCAGGCAGATAAAGATGAGAGCAGAAAGGTGAATTTGGCTGCAGACTTCTCTATAACCATAATCAATGCCAGAGGACAAATGAACAATTAAAAAGTCTCAAGAAAAAAAATAGCCCTGACTCGATATTTATATACAGTCATTCACATACAAAGATAACAAGTAGCATGTTGGGAATGTGCAAATATTAGAAATATTATTACTTTTGGCCTTTTTTAAAGAAATCACTCCGGATGTATTTTTGCTAACCAAGAAATAAGAGGCAAAAAAATGTGTAGAGGCCATTAATGTATTTAGTTATAGAATTAATGTTTTAAATGTAGAAATAATGTTTATAAAACAGAATAAAATGTTATACACATTGACAATGTAAATATAATAAAACTAACAAAGTTTTGGCCATTTGTATTTCAAATTTTTATCTGTACTCTCTGTCTTCTCCTTCAGGGATTCCTAGAAAGCATAAATATCAAGACATTTGAAGCTGTGTTAATTAACTCATATTATCTTTATTTTAAATTTTGTTCTCATATTTTATTTTAAATGGTTATTATTGGCATTTTCCCCATTGATATGACTTCTGCTTTTAATTCCATTTATTCTATGTTCCTGACTCAGTTAGATACATTACTGATATCTATGCCATAATCTTAGATGCAAATAATTAAACTTTTTGCATTTGTCTTAATTTAATA